ATAATGGCTGAAAGTGTTGAATACAAAGCAGCATGGATGGAAAGGGTAAGCACCATCCTTGATGAATACAGTAGTGAATATTCTGATATCTGGGAAGGCCTCGAAGATGAGGATATAGATAGGCTAGATAGATTATACCCTGGCTATAGGGAAGTGGAACCTGAAGTTATGGACTCTGAAATAGAAATTCTACGGAGTCAAGCAATGGGAACAGAAGACCCGAATGAGAACAGAGATATTCGGATGGAAATTGAATATGTCAGCCGACTTAAGAGAATTAAGGTCTGGAAGAGGTCAGAAACTGAGGTTTACCTGGACGCAACCCATGGAACTCTCAGAGAAGAGGTAAAAACCCTGGTTGTACTCAGGAGAATAGCTAAGGCTGAATTCAAAAGGAACGACTACTCAGAAAGAATAGACAGGTTGAAGGAAATTATGAGAAACTTAGGTTTCGATCCTAATGAGCCTGAGAAGGAGTTAGAAGTGGAGGAAGAAGAACGCAGGAAGGAAGAGTATGTAAAGAAGGAGGAAGAGGACCGGAGAAAGGCAGCCGAGCTAGAGCGCAAGATTTTCGCAGAAGCTGCTGAACTAGAGCGCAAAAAGAACGCAGAAGCTGAGATTAAAAGACAACAGGAATCCTTGAAAGATGATAAAGAGAAAACAGAGTATTGGAGAAAAAAGCTTGAACAATGGCAGAAGGAAAAGAATAAACCTAAAGAACCTGAGAAGCCTAAACCTGAGAAACCTAAACCTGCGAAACCTGAGGTACCAAAAAAGCCTAAAGCTAAAGAACCCAAGAAACCTAAGCCTGAGGAATCTAAGAAGGTAGATATAGATGATAAGTCTGATGAGCTTGTAGGTCCTGACGCTGAATGGGTAGATAATACTTACAACTTTGAGAGTCTTCTGTTCCAAGTCGCAGAGGATAGTATCCCGGAAGACGATCAACCTATATTCAGTGGTGACAGCACAGAAACAATGGTAAAGGATGTTAGAGAGGATCTAACGAGGTACGAAAGATTCAAATCATGGGTTGAAGATAACTTCGGAGTTGTGATTGCAGGTATTATAATATCGGTTGCTGCTCTCCTTACAGCTGTAATAATACAGACCAGGAAACTGTCCTCAAAAGCAGCAAACTTTTCAAATAAAGGTTCAGGTTCAGATTCACAACCGAGACCACTTCCTGATGTAGCAAACAAACTGATTAAATTCATATTATCAAACTTCTGGAAAATAGCAATAGCTGTAGGAATAGCCTTATACATGTATAACTAAACATTACATATTGTATAAAGCATGAATACCACAGAAAGAGAACTCCAACCTGGCTTCAGGAGAAGCCGTATGACATCCATAAAAGGAATCAGGACAAGAAGCGTTGTAACTTTCAATCCAACAACAATTAGCCCAGAAGAAGAGCTGTACATTAACATTCCCAAACTAAAGCCTGACTCTTGTTTAGTTCCAGGGTCACTTGCACTATTATTTGACTTCAAAAATTCCAATACTAAAAGCCGGTTCAATAATAACCTGGCCAAATTGATTACAAAACGTCTTCAGGTTAAAGTAGCAGGTGAAACAGCTTATGACTGTTCAGGAGAGAGTTTGTATGAAATTTATAAAGATCTATGGCTAACACAGGGTGACAGAAATAAGATGACAGAACAGGGCCTCGGAAGTGAAAACCTGAGAAAGCTGATATCAGGTGACGACTCAGGAGTAAAAGTAGGTGATGTTGGTAAAATAGCAGATGGACTTCTCCATAGTGTGTACGGCTCTAAGCTGAGAAAACCGATTGATAAAATAATCGCAGACCATGGACTTTACGTACCATTCACATGAACAACAATCCTATGTACATATTCACACTCCCCGGATCAGATGAAATTATGACTGCTCAAGGAGGTGAAGCTAAGGGTAATTATAAACTGGATAATCTCGAGTTAGAATACGAGACCATTGAAAGTGACACCCTTGCAGGTGAAGTATCAAGGATGTATTCAACAGGCCGCTCACTGTCCTACAAACACGTCACTCTCATGCGTACAAGTAACTGGGACAAGGATCTTACAATTGTGAATGAAAACATAAATATCCCCCGGAAGAGCATGTCAGCAATTGTCCTTCTATTTACCAACAGAGTAAGAAATGATTCTGAAGAATATATTTACCCAAACATTGATAAAGTGAACCTCACCATTGAGGGTGTGCCTAATGCAGTCTTTTCCCAAGGACTTCCTAAAAGTAGGTTCTTCGAAGAGGCAAAACGATTCTTTTGTCCTATGTGTGAGAAATCCATGGCAGATGAATTTATGTCCATCAGCAAGTTTTTCAGCACCGGTTTCGCCTTAGTAGTAGATCTAAGGTCAACACAGGATGACACCACTGGAGGAGGTAGAAAGATTGTTAACACACAGTCTGGAGTACTTATGGAAATTAATAAAAGAGCCACAACAGCTGACATTCAGTGCAACATTTTTGTTGTATCAGATGCTCTCCTTAACTTTGCTAGTAGAGATCTATCAAGTATTCAGTACTAATGACACCTGTGTCATTTACGTAGCCTGCGGAGTACTAGAGTCCACACATATGGTAAAGCATAGAGATGAATCTAGAGCCACCATTTAATATGCTCATAGTAGGAATGACTGGAAGTGGTAAGACTCAGTTCTTACTTAATATGCTAGAAACGGAATACAATAAAGTTTTTGATTATATTGTTATTATATGTCCAACAATAGAATGGAATATGACTTAAATTAACTGGGCTCATATTAGTGACCACGGAGTCATACAAATTCCATGTTCCCAGGAAATGATCAATCTTATTCAAAAGGCAGTGTCCACCGTATTCCGCGGAACCCAAACTCTCATCATTGTGGATGATTGTGCTGCAAGTCAAGATGTAAAGAAAAGAGTATCGGAATTGGTGCGCCTAGCATTCTCCGCAAGACATTACAATATATCTGTCATTGTAATTACCCAACAACTGTTATCAGTAACAAAACCATTCAGGGAAAACATTTCCAGGTTAGTTACATTTTATAACCCTAGTCGCAGAGATATGAAGGTCATAACAGATGATTACCTAAGCGGTGTTCCTCAGGAGACAATTACAGAGATTACGAAGATACTAAAAGATGAGAAGTTCACCGCACTAGATATACTCCTCATTCACCCTTACACATACACGATTAAATTAAACACCGCGTAATATATAGAAGATGGGATCCGAATCCGATGAAGAAATAACTGCAGCTGTGAGGGAAGTAGAAGCAGCCGCAAAGACGCCACAAAGGAAGTCTAAGTCTACCGCAACAAAAACTAGGCCCGCCGCAGATAGGTCGCAAACTGAACATAAAAGGAATAAGCTTATCGAGCTATCAAGGGACGGTGTAATTGATAAGACCGCAAGTTTCATAAGAAAGTCCAACAAAGATGTTGTGGATAGACTTTACAGTGAGTATGAGAGTCAGAGGATGTCATGCGCAAGTGACTTCTTATCAACGCTTATTATCTCAAAGTTTGCTTCCATACTGGGAAGTTTTGGTGCAGTGGAATCTTCCGAGAAGCTGTCAGAGGAACTACTTAGTGATAAGCTTTTAAAGGATGACGTATGTTATTTAACTAGAACGATATCCCCAAACATTCCATTCATTGGTCTCATATCAGGTGGATGCACAACAGCTAAGCACGTGGTTGCTCACAAGTGGAAGAAGAAGGAAAAGACTGAGGAAATATCTGAGGAAGCAAAACATCTCCTATTACATAGTGAAGAAGAATGTCAGACCACGAGTGGGAGAACGCCTGGGAAGGAACAGAGTTCGAAGACATAATTAACGAATTGATTGAGAAAACTAACGCTAGCAATGAGAGGCTGGATAAGATTCAAAAAACTTTGGACTCAATAGAGAAAGACTTATATGCACTTAGGAATAAGATCATACTACCCCTCCAGAATGACTTCTACAACTTTAAAGATGATACAGTTAAAACAGTAGTAAAGATATACAAGAACCTTCATGGAGTCTAGTATTTTATTTGCTAAGGGATGTACACAATAGTCGGTAAGCAGCTGGGTGGGAAGAGGGAATGCTGCTTCATAAATCAAAATAAAATAGCCATAAAATAGGCCCAAAAATTTTTACATATATAGTATAGGAAAAGATGGAAAAACTATTCAGAAACCGAGATTTAAATGTTAGCGTAAGAACTGTTAAGAGTGGTGAGGAGGTACTGTTTTATGGAAAAGATGTGGCAGAATCTCTTGGGTACTCGAACACTAAAAAAGCAATTCAAACTCATGTTTGGAGGATAAATAAGTTAACACTTGGAGAACTCAGAATGGGACCCAAATTGGGTCCCCTTATAGATGGTCACCCAGATTCTGTTTTTCTAAGAGAACCCGGTCTGTACCAACTAATATTCAACTCGAGACTCCCAATAGCAGAAGCGTTCCAGAATTGGGTATTTACTGAAGTCCTCCCATCTATCCGTAAAA